CGGTTCCGAGGGGCGGTTAGTCCCGGGCTTTCGGGGCCCTGGGAGAGGACTCGTGTGGGGAGCCGAGTTCAGAGGCTGAGCGCTGCGGAATCAGCGGTGTCAGAGCCTGAGCTCATGGGCGCTTCTTTCGTCGTGGCTGTCAATGGTGAGGCACAGCCGCAGCTTGTAGTTTTGAGGAAATTCTTGGTTTATTTATGTGAAACTACTGAAGCCTTTCTAGAAGTACTAGTCTGAGCTGTCTTGGTTGTTTTCTGGCTTTATTGTTGGGAGTTCTTGGTTTGGTTTTTTTGACAGGCCATATTTTTGGAAACTTACATATTTGGCCGCAGTATCAGTCGTACAATCCGAACGTGCCTTCCTTCAGCAACCTCATCAAGAAGGCATTTCCAGCAGTTATATACAGTCATAAGGAAGTATCAGATCAAGGTACATTAAACTTATTTTACTTCTTTACTAATTTTTTCCACAAGACTTACATTGATGCCTGTAGTTACTGAAGTGTGCACTTCTTCTTTTGTCAGGAGTTCAGAATATTACTAGCTACATGATGTAGCTGCTGCATTCTTTGTTGGCCTTTGTACTACTGTAAAATATAATGGGTACAGGATGTATCTTATCTTGGTGGTGTTTTGGAAACTACTAAAACCAGGGTAGGCCTCTTTGGACTTTTAGCTTGAGAAGAGCATTGAAAAGTTAGGTTAATCTTAACTGTGTTATATTTAATTACATATAACATTAGATTATTTAATAACTTTGATTGTAAGCACTGAGGGCTTTGATTTTACTTCTCAGATTAAAAGTTATTATGATTTTTAGGTTATATCTGTTTGCCAAAAAAAGAAGTATGGATCTACTCGAAGTGTTGTCCGTAGACTTGGAACAATTCTTTCCTTAGAGCCCTACCCAAGACCTTATTTTCAAGTAAGTGATTTATTGTTACATATATACCTCAACTATTTAAGTTTTTTAGTTTCTTAACGTAGTGATAGCTTTCCTGTTCTTTCTAGCTTGTGTGACTCTTGTGTCACCTCACTTATGCTCGCTGTTTTCAGCTTGCTTTACAGCACTGTAAAATTCTCAAAAAATTCCTTTTGCTGAGGCAGAGCTTTTAGTATGTGTTGATCTGGTTTCTCTTCATACTTTTTTTTTCTCGTTTGTTTTTAGCTTGTTCAAGACCCAAGTCCGTTGGGTTATGATGAACAAAGCACAGCTCCAACTCCTGTAGCTCCATCACTTGCTGATGTCCTGTGGGTGGCAAATGATGAGGCACAAGCATTTACTAGGCTTAGGTAAGTAAAAGTAGAACATATGTGTAAAAAGGAGTAGTAAAAGTCACTTACGTTTTCTGTTCTTTGTGGTGCTCGGGGTTTTGTGTTTGGTGAGGGGGCGGGGTTTTTGTTTTGTTTTTCCTTTTTCCAAGCCCTTTCAGACTTCCAGCTAAACCAATCCCAGAAATCTTTTGGGTTTTTTGGGGAACATTTCATACTTACCTGGAAATTCTTACCATGTAGAGTATTCTTATCTGAAAGATTTCTGAAATTTTGTCCCCTCTTTTCTCTTGCTAATGCAGGTCAGGTGCATTACTGGTATTTTAGTTTGTTTACATTCACAAAGTACTTTGTGAGAGAGGGAGTTTAAGGGAAACTTGCATATTGCAACATACAAGAAGATTATTCTTTATCAGTTTAGTTTACAAGCATTTTGATAAAGGTTATAAAGACCAGAACAAGAAAAAATTACTTGAATGTCTCCTTTTGACGTCAGTTGCTACAGTGTTATGTGTGTAAACCTTGGTGGTTGTTTTGATGGAAAGAAAAACAAAATTTCTTTATTTTAAACATTTACCTTGAATATGGTTTATATAATTCTTTCTAGCTTGTACAGAGTGCTAAAGGAAAATATTTTTACAATTGGAAAATATTACAGGTACTGTGAAATGACAGGTTATCCAGGAATTTGCAGACACAAATAGTATAAAATTATCTTTTTGTTGTTTTTTGTTTTCTCTCCCACTGGAGAAGAAATAGAAAGTTGACTTACTGTTCCTCTAAAGTATCTATTCAAAATCAGGGGATGAGTCAGAGCCAGAACCAAGATTAAAATTTGGACACTTGTATTGTCTTGTACTACATCTACATCAGACAATGTATTTCTGCTTCATATTGCATGCTTTGTGCTGCTTGCTGGTAGTGAAGCTTCAAGAAACTGATGAAATGGCACACTTTTTATTAGAGAAGTTTTGCTAAAGTTGTGTTTCCTCTTACAATGAAACATCTGAGATGTTACTGTTGAATTGTGGAAGGTTTTTTTGCAGCAGCTGTAAAATACTGGAAGAAAGATTATTGTTAAAAGGAACAATGGTCTGTTTTGTCTTGCTTGTGCTGTTCTTTAGCCTGTCTGATTCACAGATCCATGAAAATTCTTTCTTTTTTTTCATTCCTTCTTCCTCCTCCTTTCCTGGCTCTGTGGGATGTTTTTCAAGAACAAGTATTCTAGTTGATATCTTTTCCTTCTAAGCCAGTGTTAAGAACAGTGGGTCTTGGCAAATCAGAAACCAATGCTTACAGGTCTGATTTGAAGTAAAAGGATGATTATTATAAGGGAAGAGGTCTGATTTTGTTTCAATTAGAACTTAGTGCATCTTGAATAAATAAAGTAAATTTAATTTCTTCTTTTGTTTCATAGTGAATTTCTGTTAGTTTGCATTTACACTCATTCTATATTTGAAGGTTATTTCTGCAGGAACAGACTTGAAACAATCTTTAAAATTTGAGACTTGCAGCACAATTTTCTAATTCAGTCTGTGTTTATAGATAGCTTACAGAAGATAAGATTCTTACTATATGAGTGTGTGTTAAAATTTGATTTTAAAAATTAATTTAAATATTATTTTCCAATGTATTTTCTGAAAGATTGCAACTTCTTTGCTGCTTGCACTGTTCATCTTGCAGAGTTTGATAAATGACTTAAATGTGTGAAGCTTAATTAAGAGATCATTATTATTTGACTCTCCCTGCCTTTCATATATATATGTATGTATATGTATATATATGATGTATATAACCTGTCCCTGAGTAATTATCTGACTATTTTTTATTATGACTTTTCAAGGATCTGCATCGTACTTCAGCAGAGGGAAACCTGGAACATTTTTAAGGTTATAGTCAGTTAAAAGTTTAAAGTTTTCTTAAATAGTGTGCAAATTTATGTTGTGCTGAATGACAGGAACTTGGTTGAACAGACAGTAAGTTTTAAGATTTCCGTTGCTGGCGGAGCCTTTTGAGACTGTGTCTTTTGTTGCTTTCTAGGACTGAATTATGGAGAAAAGAAAGAAGTACAGCTTATTGTGACCTACACCCATCTCTAGATTCAATACAAAGCGTTCCAAAAAACAGCACACAGAAAGATAGTCTTGTTGATCAAGCAGCACTGCAGAAAATTTCTGCCCTTGAAGACGAGCTGACCTTTCTTCGTGCTCAGATTGCTGCAATCGTTTCGGCGCAGACCTCGGGAAGCGTTCTGCCACGTAAGCCCGTCTGGCTCCAACCAAACCGGGTTTCCTTATGTTGCTGTAGAGTTCCTGTTCACAGCTTGCCCTGTCTGATACTAAGAGAGAACATCCTTAATTTCTGTAACTGAAGTCACACCAACAAAATCTACAGATTACAGTATTTTTTCTCTTGTCAGTACTTGGCACCACCCCCCTCTGCCTTTTTCATGGCCCGTTTGCCAATTCTGAGCACAGTTGCTCCTAACTGGTGTTTATACTCATTTCCATGTTTGTAAAGAAGCTTAGTAACAACACTATCCATAGGGTACCAATTACTGCTTTAAAAAGTTACAGACTCTTAATTATCCCTTTTGGTTTTTGTACTGTTTGTGGCAAGTTATAAAAATAATAGATGAAAAAAGTATTCTAAGGAAGTCAGGGTCAGGCTTTAGCAAAAGCAAATGCTGCAATAGGTGTGTCTGACAGCCGCTAGAATATCAAAGATTGAACATATTGGAGACCAACTATCTTGTGATATTTTTTTTAATTCCCTCCTTCCTCTCCCCCTAAAAAAAAAGCTTTGAGGTCCTGATTTGTCTTACATTGTGATTTTTTGAAACATTTGAACTGGTTTCAGGGAGTTGCATTTGTGTACATTGTGCCAAGTGAACTTGAACAGTAGTTCAGGCACCTCTGTGCTTCATTTAGGTGTTCTGTTGGCTCTTCTTTTGTCTCTTCTCCATTGCTCTTAGTATTGTAGTCTTTTTTAAATGTTTTGCGGTTATCTTTGCTTTTGCTTCATGTGGGATATTCTAACATTCAGACCATTGAGAATGAACTGCATGTAGTAGCAGGCTGCTTTGCTGATTTATTTAGTGCTTAGATTGAAAACACAAATGGAGAAAATCAGGGCAGCACAAAACACCTCAGATCCATTATTTCATGTGTTGTGAATCTGTGGCTTTGAAATAAAAACTGTTATTTGTTTTAAATATAATTCTTCCATGGTATAATGTGTGAGGTGTGTAAGAAAGTGCTTTAAGAGAGCTGTCTTGACTTAAAACTGAGTCACCCTAGGTATTGCTTAATATTGTTAATTGTGAAGGTATACAGACTAAAAATAAATAAGATTGCTATTTTTCTTTTGTAAGTGCATCCAGAAGCCTTTAAATCAGTCAGCACTCCAGATGGATTTGACCCAGGGCCAGCCATGACTTCTACGCCGTTGTCCATCTCTCACAATCACTTTGTAATTCCCTCGCCTCCTCCACTTCCTCCTGGGGTACCCTCTGGGGTTGGTGGTAGCAATTCGGCCATTGAACTTATAAAACAACGTCGTGCTGCAAGAGACAGTGGTTCAACTGCAGCTGATAGCGCTGATCACCAGAGGACAAAGAACATTCCTAGTATGATGGATGTTTTGAAAGACCTAAACAAAGTACAGTTACGAGCTGTTGAGAGGTAGGTTGAACTGAACGTGTATCTGAGTAATCCAAGACTCTGTAAGCCTCACAGCACTTAAGTAGCACCAGAGAACACCAGTGTGAAACATCATTTGGTGAGCAGCTACTGCTGACAAACACAGGCTGGCAACTTTTAATTTCACAGCTTGGAGTGTAAGATATTTGTGACATGGCTTTTAGATGCATTTGAAGCATGCCAAGCATCACAGCATTTAAAACTAAGTCTCGTACTTTAGTATACAAATCTCAGGTTGGAGTGGGGAGGTGGGTGTGCTGCTACCTGGAGATCTCTTACAAAGGTGCCTACACAGTCACAGGAAACTGATCTGAACAAATAAACTTTAGATTCACTGTGAAAGGACAAATCCTTGAGGAATCATTGAAAACTACTGTTAGCGTACCGAAAGTATCCTGGTCCTGGCTTTGGAGTGTTAAAGAAATACATGCTGTATCTTTTCTTGAAAATGTTTTGTAAATTTGTATTTCTTTAGTGCAGCTGGATTATAAATATTTTTAATGGTCTGCTGTTTTGATGGTAAGCACAGCTGACATGTTACAGAAATACATTACTAAAGACTGCAATACCTCTTTGGGTCAGTGTTGCTCTGCTATGCTAGGTATAATAGAAGTTGTCAGATGTCTTTTCTGAACTTTCAGTTGAAAAAGTATACAAGAACAATTGAGTCTATAATGAATATTTGGAGCTTTTAATGTGGGAGGAACGTCACTTACAAAAATTACTACGTTCTTATTTCAGCATTTTCTTAACTGTGAGCTTTATCCCTGAAAATAACTAGCACAAGTCTTGGGCAAATTATCTGTATATAACTCTAAAACTGACTCTGAGTCTGACAGTAGTTTAATGAGTGTACTGTAAAGGGAACCCCTCTGTTCTCAGAAGTTGAGAGCCTGACTGAAGGTCCCAGCTTCTACCAAGCGAGCACCAGCTTACACATTGGGCAAGTGCTCTAACAGCTTGATTTTATAGGGAGTGAATTCAGTCCTTTCAGGTTTTGTGTTAAATGACATCTGCTGTAACTGCCAGACTTTGAGCTCAGTGCTGTCAGTGTGCATTGATAGGTACAATTCATTGGCCTGGAGATAGCACTTTACTAACAGAACCATGAATATCTCTACTTTTTTTTCCTTTTTCTCTCTTCCCATGTGTCCCCTCCCCCCCCCAATGTCTTAATGGTTAGGAAGCATTTCTTATTATTTATCTTCTTGGACTAATCCCTAGATTCCACATTTATGTTAGGTTTTGAGGTGCAGGTGCTGTTTTGATCTAACATCTCTTTGCTATCTTTTGATTTTGAATTTGATAACAGTTTTTTCTAAATTAAAATACAAACTCTACTTTTTAAGTTTCATATTTGGATGCTCAGGTGATCACTTGGAGGGAAAAGGTGTCGTTGAAGACTTTGTGCCAAATCTCATTATAATTATTTTTGGGGGGTTTTGTTGTTTTTTTTTTTTTTAATAATGAAATCTGAGTTCAAGTGTGGTTTATAAATGGAGCTTTATGGTCTCTTGGCTCCATATTTGACTTAAAGTGGTTGATTTCTTTAAATATAGTTGCTCTGAGGAATTTTGTAAGTGTTGTTCTTTCTTGTGAGACTTAAAATTAATGAAGTTTAAATCAAATTATGTTCACAATGGCTGTAAAATTAATATAACTTACAAATGAGACCTGATATGCAAACTGCATGCTTTGCTTTTTTTCCTCATTATTTATTTGCATTATTTTGATACTTCGTGTTCATCTACTGCCACTTTTCTTTATGGAACGGCGTCAAGTTGTATTTTCAAGCTAAGAATCTGGCTGACAGATTGTTGAGTGTACTTATATTAGTCCTGTTTGGTGAATTGCTGTAAAATAGCATTAGCAGCATTATTTGTGTAATTGGGGATTAATAGGATAGGGTGTATACAGAAGTTGTGTCTTTGGATTTTGGGTTACTCGGCATAGATTAAGGGCAGGAGATAGTAATTTACTGTTTTGTTTTGTTTTTTTGGTAGGTCACCTGGAGGTACTCCTCTTTCTAGACCCAAAAAGAGGCGAAGTTCAGATTGGGATCCAGTTGCTGTACTAACTCAGGCACTAAAACAGAAGTTTGCACATAAAAATTTTGAAGATGATTCCTTGGACAAAGAAAATCAATCTTTTGATAGCTCCCCATTTTCTAGTCCAGAGATCCCACTGGTATGTTTATATAATGACTTGTTTTTATGTTCTTGAAGTGACTGCTGTTCTCATGTATAGTTGCAGGGTTTATAAGAATCTACTTTAAGAGAAAAGTCTTAACTTTTCTACATTTTTACGTCATCAGCCTAGGTAGTTACTTTTTTCAAGTATAATCAAGGCAGAGAATCTCAAGGAATAATTATTTGGGATGGATTTAGATTGGTAAATACACTTCTAGATGTGCCAAGAGGAATAACTTAGAAGACTGATCTTAAAAATTCAGCTTGCAGTTGATTGAACTGTGGACATTCATTTGATGGTAACTGACAGGTAGCCACACGTTGAAACTGTGTGTCTAGTTAGTAATACTAACTACTTATTGACTAATTAATTTTACCAATAAAGGTGCTGGGAAGGTGCACAGAGATCTGACTAACATGTGCTATGTGTTCAGAAATTAAAATGAAGGCATTGGCTGTAATATTTTCCTTTGAGATAGCGTCATTTCCAACGAGTTTACATCTTTATCCAGAGCGAGGTGTGATTCTGAACGCTGTTGCAAGGCCCAAGAAAAAGGCAGTTTTTGGTATGAGCAAGAGAAGTGCAGCAGACAGAGCCATCGGACTGACGTGACTCTGAGTGCTGGTTTCTGTGGAGCAGCTTGTGCAAAGTGCTCCAGCTTCCACCGTCCAGCAGGACTCTTGGTTATTTGTTAGAGACTGCCACAAACCTCGGAACTGCTCAGATGAGACGGACAGAAATAGGTGGCAGTAATTTAAAGTGTGTGTCTCTCTTTATCAATTCTATCTTTATATCTTAAGAGTGAGATAAAGATTTGGACTGTGGCATTTGTTAGCCTAATAGAGGAAAATAATAATGCAAAACATATAATGGAAATCCAGACATTCTTTGAAGGCCATTGCTTATATGTGTGGCTGGCTGCTTAGCTAAAAATTTAAGGAAAATTAAGGTAAGGTGTGTTTCTATTTCCAGTTTGGTTTTTTTTTAATTATTTCAGTTGCCACAAGTATTTCACAGGTGAAATATAGCATATATTTTACAGACTGTAGTGAGTCAACAGCTCTGATGCAGTCTTAATAAATTTCCCTGATAACTTTTTTTTTTTTCCCCAAAGGAAAAATTAGAAACTTGTTAAGAACAGCCAGGCTTGTATTTTGGATGCTGCAGACCATTGCATTGCATAGCTGACATACCTGATTCTGGATATAAAGATCAAAGTTACATCCCAGGACAACTTGTTTATGGAATAGCTTATGTTGCAGGATCTGACATCTGAATTACAAAGTCCTGGAAGAGAGATTGCTTAAGACCAGTGTGTTCAGGAACAGATACAGAAAGATGGACCTCTTCTGGTTACAGCAGAATAATCTCATGAGCTTGGAATCAAGTCTCTAATTGTTTATTCTTGATTGTTTTGAAGAATAAATGTACTTACAGCAATTGTACAGATTTACTATTTTATTCTTCCTGCGTTAAGAGAAGTCCAGCAACTCTTCCAAACTGCCTTTATTGTAAACATCTTCTCATTCAGTTGTCTTGGGTATAATTTTGTTTAATTCCATCCCTGCTCCCCAGGTTGGTCCTTGCAGTCGGAAGCCAAATGCAAAATCTGACCTTATAAGAACTGATGAAGTTAAACAGGTATCAACATGGAAAGTAAGAGCTCATATTTAACTGATGGAGACTTCTGAGGAAACTTCATTGTGGCTGTAAGTGGCGGGTCCACTTTGAAACTGCTGTAAGGTGCTGTAATATGTTCTAGAACATGTTGTCTCTCCTGTGCTGTTGAGGTTTGGGTTGTAGGGTTTGTAAAATTGCCTCTTCCTTCTGCTTAGTTTCCCAGCAGTCAGACTTGTGAATGTGATGCACAGAACCAAAAAAAGTATTTTGTTGCTATGGAGCAGTGTGTTTGAAAGCTGGGAAATGCAGGAAATAAGTGTGTGTGAAAGAAAAATAATTACTGGTGTGGCAGCCAAGGTGTGCGCTCTGTTTGCACTTCAGTTTAAATAACGAGGAAGTGTAAAATTTTTGTTAGTGTGTTATGTATAATTGACTGTGTATAATTAACGGTAATCCTGTTTCATTAGGATGGTATAGTTGCCTCAGTTTTCTTTGCTGATGCAGCTCCATATTCCATGTGCCAACAGTATTCTAACTTATTTTGAGTCAGTAGATAAACTTCTGTGTTTGTGAAAATTTATTGTGCTGTAAGTGAACTTCAGGTTGTCTGTTAAATGCCTATAATATGGGGGAGTTGTTTTTGGAGATAAAAAAGACCTTGTAGAGAGATCTGCTAGCACATAGTCTAAATTCCATATGGAAATAAACGTTAACTCCCTCCTTCACTTCTCCGTGTGAAGACTTTTGTTCACACGAGTTAATAAAATTTTCTTTGTATCATGGATGTGTGTTGTAGTGGCATTTTGTGTTGCAGACTAACTTTTTTGTATCTCAAGAGCTGACCATATTAGACAACTTAAATAAACTGTATTATCTAAAATTAATTAAAATAGAACTTACATTTTTCCTGCCAGAGTACTTGATGAAGGATTCCCTTATTTACACATTTATTATGTTCCACTGCTTACGATAGCTGCCTTCGCTTAATCTTTTGTCTAATGATCCTGATGTATAAAACCAAAATCCTGTCAATTAGACTGTGGACTAATTGTCCTCCTTGTATATCCTGCATGTCTTCTATTTCCCTGCCCTCTTACACAGAGTAGACTGGCAGGTGAATTCCCTCTCACTGCTGACTCTTATTTGCACACTTGCAAGAAATTACTGTGCAAATCCCGTACTTGTGTTTTAATTTTATAAGTTATCTTTTGACTAAAGCTGGAGCATAAGTGACTTCCCGTTTTATGCTTTTAAAATTGTGTCTTCTAGATGTTTTTTTCTGAATTTAGTAGTTAACTTTATCACACTCTCCCATTCCTCTCTTAGTCCAGAAGAGTTTGACCTTCACTTTCTTTCTGCTTCCAGAATCCTCATTTGCTGCATTCTCTACCTAAACTTGACAGGTGCTATGAAAACCATATGGAGTAGCCAGCTTGGCCCTCTACTTAGCAGTCTTACCCTCTTCTGTCAAAGCTCCCCATTGTTTTGTTTTGGTTTGTTTTGTTTCTGCTGCCCTGGTCTCTGATACACTAGGGCAGCAGTGGAGCAACAGTGAAGGAAGTCGGTGCAGTGCCTGCAGAGGAGGATATGAAGGCAGATGAGTCGTGGTGAGCGTAAAGGCCATGGATCAGCTCCCTTTGCTCAGTATCTGCAGTGTCATGAGGTGGAGCAAGTTACCTCCTGTGTTACATCAGCATTCGTAGATCCAGGGGTCTCGACGTTTGTCGCCGTTCTGTTGTGACTGAAACATGAAGGTGGAATTCTTGCTGTGAGGGACTGAATTAATCTGCAAAGCCCTGAATCCCTCTTTCCTACTTCAGTTCCTTTATGTGACCAGCAGTTTCTTCAGGAAGAACTGTTGTTTTGGACTCCTTTTGTATGTATTTTCTGTTCTCTCCAGAGTTCATCGTTTAACCACAAGTTTGGCCTACAGGAGTATTTTTCAGAGAGAATTTTGAAAGTGTTATTTTAAAATTTTGGAAGGGAATTCTCTCAGAAATATCTTAGTACCTCTTAAACCAAGGATCTAGTGTCAGACTTAAGAAGCATCTGCAAATTTTTGTGAGCTGTGTGACCCTTCAGGTTTAGGTGCTATCCGATTTTTGTGTCACTCTGATGTGAATTGGGTGGTAATGTAGTTTGTATAGCTGATCTGTTTCTTTAGGGAAAAGAATGTGTCATGGGCTGTGGGATTTTTCTTTTTTCCCCAACTGTGTACCACCTACACATGTTATAATGTGTCATGGGCTGTGGGATTTTTCTTTTTTTTTTCCCCAACTGTGTACCACCCACACATGTTATGAGAACAGATTCTTCATTTGATGTAGTTCCAGATGTAAATTAGGTTAGGCATTGAGCCCTCCTATACCTTGAGAAATCTGAAAGTGGCATCTGGTAACATCTGACAGTTCTCAATACTAAGAAGTCACAAAACTTAGTGGTGTTTGGTAACGAACAGGTTATCGCCCATTGTGGAGATTTTCCTCCCTTTCAAGACTAAGGAAAACGTGGCTTTGTCATCTTATTTTCTTAGATTAAAGCACCTGTATCAGCAACTTAGAAGCGACTTGAGTTTCTGTAAGGTTATCCACGCTCACCGAGATTCCCTGTTTACCTACCAGTAACCTTGTTTATGTAAGGTCCCTGATGGAATTGCTCAGTGACAATACAAGTCTTGGAGATGTTGGAGCGATACGGGGGGAGGAGGAGGAGACTCAGGAACATGAGCACCCTATTGGTCTGCTGGAACAATCTTGTGAAATGTTGTGCCTTCTTATTCTTGTTACTGAGGAAGTTTGGGAAATTTATTGGCCTACCCCTCCTGATGAATTTTTGGGCAGGATGTCTTCCTTCAGGAGTGACTGGGAAGGTATCTGGAATGAAAGCTGGTTTTGTTTTTCCACTAGAAACACTAAGAAATATGTATAGCATATCCAGTTTTTCAGTTAATAAAATTGAAACAACAATAAACATTTCAAATACTTTGAGTAAATAGGGGTAGGAGGAGAAGTACAATGCAGTTCTTTAAAGGATTTTTCCCTAAGAGATTGGAGTTCTTAATCAGTGAGCTTTCCCACTACCAGGAGACTAATAAATACAATTACCTGAACTGTCAGAATATCACTGTTTGTTGTAAACTCCTGTAATATGCCAGACCTGGCCAGATACTCAGTACTTGTGAGGGACAATTAATACCTAATCTGCCATCTCTCTGTATGTATAGGTATAGAGTTTGGAGGGGAAGGGCACAGCAGAGACTGTGCAAACAGTATTCACTGCCCTTGGTATGTTCCTCTTTTCAGGAATTAATTGCATTGCTCTTTAGTCCTACTTTACATAGGAAAATTATATATGGGGCCCTTGCAAAAGCCTAATTGACAAAGGGATCCTGTTAAACAAGTCAGCCTATGAGTTACTGATCAGAAGCCTGGGGAAAGAAAGTCCTACAAGCAAGACTATCAGAGCAGCTGGTGTCCCAGCGTTTGTAAGGCCTGCTGCCAGATTTCACTTCTGCTTTATCAGAAGTCTGTTTGGCGGTGATTCAAGGCATCCGGGAGACGGTCGAGATCCTGATCCCCATGTGATCTACCAATCTCATAGTGACACTGACTTAAGCTACATCTCTGTTACCTTCCAGGTTTATCTGAATAATCTATTAATTGTGTAGTTGCATCTCTGTGAAATTTGAATAGCTTGCAGTTTCTGTTTCAGTGCTTCGCGTACTGCTGTGACTTGGCTGAAAGACACATAGGGAAAATGAAGCCTTCCTGAAGTTTTCCAATGGTCAAAATGGGCAGTATCAGCCCACTGTAATGAGAGGAACAACTGAAAATTTGACATTCATATTGCCCTCAGGCAATGGCATGATTTGATTTAGTAACTTTCAGTTGTTTTAAGATACAAATCATTATTACAATTCCAAGTGAGAAAATGCAGCTTTTTTTTTTAACAGCGTTATCATTATAATTTTTTTTTCCTCATTTTCAGGCATATATATTCATCATACCAGGTATGTTTGGCATTGAGAATGGACTGCCATGTAAAAGATCTGTCTTATGTATAGTTTCTTGCACATTTGTGAAGAATAACTTAATTCTTTTTTGTTTAGACATCAAGATTATATAATCTTATAGCTTTTATAAGAATAGTAATATATATATATATACATATAATTAATGTGATATAATGATACATATATTATTTCTTTTGGACTCAATGATCTTAAAGGTCTTTTCCAACCTAAATGATTCTATGATAAATAAAAAGAAATTAATGTTATTCTTCAATGTAACACATTAACAACTTTTTAAAATCACAGTTAGGGTAAATTGCCCAATATACAAAAGGTAGCTTTAGGTGGAATGTGTTGGCAATTGTGCTGTGTTTTTTGAAGAGAACCGATGTAAGTGACAATTTCTTTAAGAATTTGACACAGCTTTGAAGCCTTGCTCGTTCTTTTACAGTTTTAATGACAAACCTCTAGAATTTGAAAACTGATGGGAACCAAAACTGTAAAACAACAAAACCAGGTTTTTACATATATATGGGTTTTTTATCCTGCTTTATATTCTTTATTTTTCAGGGCTAGTGCCTGCTATCTCATAAACTTCTGCTCACATGTTAGCCCAAAGGTGTGTCCCTTCTATCTTGTTTGGGAGAATTATTGCCAGATACAGAAAATGTTTTTTGAAACTTGCTTGAAGTGTAAGTCTAGGCATTAATTACCAAATTCTTTCAAAGTATCTCTAAAGTAAACTTTCATAATTGACTTTTTAGAGTCTAAATTGTAGTTTAAAGGTTTACAAGGCAGTTAATAACTATCAGAACACTAACTCCCGCTAAAATACTTGCTTTTGTGATTTTAAGATTTTAAAATACTGAACTGATTTCTGTCTCTGGGTGTGTTTTGAATGGATGTACTATCCTTCTCAGTTTTGTTTTACAGCTTGTACTTTTTTTTCTTTTTTCTTGCAAAACTTTTGAGAATCTTCTATGGATAAAATCTACACAAGGGGGATATGTGCTTTTTATTTGGTTGTATCTTTGCAGTGTGT